AAACTTCTTTTGCTCAAATTTACCCAGCTTAGGAGACTGGCACATTTCTTGTGCGCCCTATAAGCTCAGAACTTTCTAAATATTAAGTTGTTTCATCCTTATGACAGTCACCTGCCTGGAGTCAGACAGCTGCTTGGCTCAGAACTGACATTTGAGGTCAAGGAAGTTATGATGATTTTTCCTTCAGCCACGAGGCTTTGTCAGAAATATTTGCTCCCAGAGACTGGCCAGGGTCCCCATGTTTATGGTGAATACCCCCAGGTACACCACCACCTTATGACATACCACCAGCAGCACTGGGGACAGAGTCTGTCTTATCTCAAAGCCCACTCAGACAGACCAGGAGGTTCCTACTCATGATGACCCTCTACCGAGTTTCCAGTTTAAATATTTTTTTAAAAAACACTGATTGACATGAAAGTTTACAAATCATATCGGCTTTCGTGTACATTTTCCTATAACATCCATTACAATATCCACTGTTAAGAACCTCTGCAAAACACTGAAGAGTAATTATGCCAGCTTAAAGATTAAGGTGTACCTTATTCAAGCCTGATTCAAGACCATAGCAAGTCTTTTCAATCACCCTCCATGCATCTGAGAGCTGGACAAGGACTAAAGATGAGAGGAGTAAGATCGATGCCTTTGAGTTGAGATGTTGGTGAAGGGGCTGAGTGTCCCATGGACTGCCTAAAGAACAAGCAGATAGATCTTGGAGAAACTGAAACCAGAGTCGTCCTCAGAGGTAAGGATGGTGAAGTTCCATCTCACATACTTTGGGCATGTTGTTAGAAGTTGTTGTTGTTGTTGTTGTTGTTGTTGTTGTTAAGTGCCATTGAGTCGCAGGTGACTCATAGCGACCATATGAAGGAGAGTCCTCAAAAATAGCATCATGCCTGGAAAGGTAGAGGGCCCGCAAAACAGAGGAAGACTCTCTTTTGGTAGAATGCTGTAGTAGCTGTAGCAATGGGATCAAGTATATCAGAGATGATAGGGATGGCACAGGATAGAACAGGGTTCGGATCTGTTGTTCAGAGGGTTGCTATGAGTCATATTCAACTGAACAACACTTAACAAAAACAATAATACAATAAAACTTTTCCCACTTACTCCCTAGAATTCTCTTTTCTGTTCATCCTTCCAACATACCCCTTCCTAACTATTGGGATTTATCTTTGGGCAAACACTGCTCTTTTGACCATAACGGCTAATTGTTCTAAAAAGTAAATGTCTCCCTAGTGTTATTAATAACCTTAAAGTCCCATCTGTTGGTTGTCTGAAAGTTGAGCTCAGGGGTGAGTTTTATTCCAGGTTGTGTCTGCCTCGGGGCTGATGACTGCCTCCTGGTCCAAGTATAGATTTCACATTAGCACGATCAAGTGTTCTGGGATTCCGTTCTTCTCAGTTAACCACAGTTTGCTTGCTATGATCCACACAGTCAAATGCCTTTGCATAATCAATGAAACAAAGATTGACATTCTTCTGGTACTCCCTGCTTTCAGCCAAGATCGCTAGTACCCCTACTCCTTCTAAACTCAGCCTGCACTTCTGGCAGTTCTCTATTAATGTGCTGTTCCAGTCGTTTTTAAATAATCTTTAGCAGAATCTTGCTTGTTGTGATATTAATGATATTGCTTGATAATTTTCACACTCTATGGAATCACCTTTCTTTGGAATGGGAACAAATATAGATCTCTTCCAGTCAGTTGGCCAAGGGGTTGTTCTTCAGATTTCTTGGCACAACTTGGTTAGCACATCTAGGGCATCATCTGTTAGTTGAAATATGTCTATTGGTATACCATCTATTCCTGGGGGCTTATTCTTAACCAATTCTTTCAAAGCAGTTTGAACTTTTTCCTTCATCACCACAGGCTCTTGCTCATATGTTGTTTCATTAAATTATTCTACGTCTGTCAATTCCTTTTGGTATAATGACTCTGTATACTCTTTCTATCTTCTTTTAATACTTGTAAGATCATTTAATATTCTTCCCAAAGCATCCTTATGTATTGCAACTCGAGGCTTGAATTTCTTCTTCAGTTCCTTGAGCTTAAGAAATGCTGAGCAAGTTCTGCCCCTTTAATTTTCTGACTCCAGCTCTTTGCACATTTCATTACAATACTTTACTTTGTCTTGTCGTGCTGCCTTTTGAAATCTCCTGTTCAGCTCCTCAATGTCTTCATTTCTTCCCTCTTCTTTGGCTTCTCGGCACTCTAATGCAATATTCAGAGTTTCTTCTGACATCCATTTTGGTCTTTTCTTCCTCCTCTGTCTTTGCAATGAACTTTTGCATTCTTCCTGGATGATATTCTTGATATCTTCTCATAACTCAAATGCCTTATATTGCTGAAATCTTGATAGCAAGCTTGGTCAATTTCAGACTGCAAAAGTTGGTAGAAATCCTCAATCTCCTTTTTCACTTTAATTGTTAGTGCATATATAACAGTCATATTAACAGGTCTTCTTAGCATGTGCATTCATAATATCCTATCACTCACAGCATTGTACTTCAGGATGGATCTGGAAATTGCCTTTTTAACTGTGGAGGCAACACCATTCTTCTTCAATTTATCATTGCTGGCATATTGCATATGATTACCAATTTACGCTAGGAAATTTGGAGAACAATTGACAATTATCTCATCTTCTTTGGATCCACAATCTACCCCCTTGGCACCAGCAGTCAAGAAATCAAAAGATGTGTTCCACTTGGAAAGTCTGCAGTCCAGGATCTCTCTGACATACTGAGGAGCAATGATGTCAACTTAAAGACTAAGATGTGCCTGATTCAATCCCTGGTCTTTTCAATCACATGCTATGCACCTGAGAATTGGACAATGAGTAAGGGTGAAAGAAGAATCAACACCTTTGAGCAGTGGTGTTGGAGAAGAGTGCCAGAAGAACAGATATGTCACAGAGAAAGGTAAACCAGAGTGCTCCGTAGAGGCAAGGATGCCAAAGTTTAGTCTCAAATGCATTGAGTGTGATGTTAGTGTAGAGCTATTCTTTGGGAAAAGACAATATACTTGGAAAGGTCAGTGAAAGAGAGGAAGACCCTCAGTGAGGTGGTTTGGCATAGTAACTACTGGGATCGAGTACATCAGAGATGCTATGAATGGCACAGGACAAGACAGGGTTCAGAGCTGTTGTTCATTGGGTTGTTATGGGTCGTACTTGACTTAATGGCACCTAACAACCACCAACACCTCAGGTACTCATCCTCCAGCTCCACAACAAACTGTGTTCTGGTGGGATTTGTAGGGTGTTCCCAGGTTCATTTCCCAGGTGCATTATGGAAGTCAATCACCAGGCCTTGCTGGTCTGTCTGAGCCTGGGAGCTATGTGGAAACCTGCTCACCACGGATGGCACTGACTTGCAATACCAGCCCCATCATATTCAGCATCACAGTCACATGCAGATCATGTTATCCACCACACACAACACATGAAGATCCTCCACCACCCTGACCATCAGTGGTGCATCACACTGCTGTGAACCAGGGAAGTTTCACTGGCTGATTTTTTTTTTCATAATTAAATCATCAGGCTGTTATTTTCCAAAGTTCCTTTAATTCTGATCTGACTGACATTGACAATTTTTAAAAATTGAATTAAAAATTTAAAGAACTGACTGACACTGAAAAATGTCAAGTAGTGCCATATGAGCAGGAGCCAATGGTAATGAAGGAGAAAATGGAAGCTGCATTGAAGGCATTGGCAAAAAAATAAGGCCCCAGGAATAGATGGGATACCAATTGACTCATTTCAATTAACAGATGCAGTCCTGGATGCGCTCACCAGTCTATGTGAGGAAATTTGGATTTTGGAAATATAGTGTGGGGCTGCTAAACAAAAGATCAGCAGTTGAAACCCATCAGCTTCTCCTAGGGGGCAAAGATGGATAGTCTCCTCCTGTAATAATTTAGAGCCTCGGGAAACCGATGGGGTCAGTCCACTATGAATCAGAGTCAGCTGGACAGCAAAGCATCTCCATTAAGGGAACCATGAGAAAAATTACACCACTTAGTTTGCTTAATTCAACTTCAATGTATGATAAAAGGAAGATAATTTGAATTTTAAAAAATAATAATAATACATTTTATGAAGCAGCCAGAGAGTCTGTACCCCTATGCCCAAATGAGAAACCCACAAATAAAAAAAGACAATCTCTTTGTAAAAACAAAAGAAAAAAATTAACTTTGTTGTTGTTAGGTGCCATCAAGTAGAGTACAGCTTATAGCAACCCTATGAACAAAAGATCCTTACCCTGTTCTATCCTGCACCATCCTCACACTTCCTGACATACAAGAACCCATTGCAGCAGTCACTGTATCAATCTACCTGGTTGAGGGTCTTCCTATTCTTCACCTACCCTAGACCCCTCCCAATATCATGTACCTCTTCAAGGAACAGCACCTCCTACCAACATGTCCAAAGTATGTGATGTGAAGCCTCATCATTTTTGCCTCCAAAGAGCACTCAGGCTGCACCCTCTCCAAGACATATCTGTTCATTCTCTTGGCCATCATGGGATGTTCGGTGCTCTTCTTCAACACTGTAGTTCAAAGGTGTCAATTCTTTTTCTGGCATCCTAATTCATTGTCCAGCTCTTGAACGCATAGATAGTAATTGGAAAGACTATGGTCTGAATCAGATACACCTTAGTCTTCAAACTGACAACACTACTTCTCAATAATTTGGAGAAGTCCTAACTGCAGATTTCCCTAGTGCAGTGTGTCTCCTTATTTACTGACTGCTCATTCCAAAGGCGTTAATTGTGAATCCAAGCAAGATGAAGCTCTTAACAGTTTCAGTCTCCTCTCCAGCCATCATGATGCTGTCTACCTGTTCAGTGGTAAAAATCTTTGTTTTCTTGACATTGAGATGCAATCCATACCAAAGGCTGCATTCCTTGATCTTCTGCAACAAGTGCTTCAAGCCCTCCTCACTTTCAGCAAGTGTCATCTGCAGAACACAGGTTCTTTTTTTTTTTTAAAAAGACATTTATTCAGTGTCATGATCAGACTATTACATTTAGCAATCAACAGCATGGGTGCAAAAAAAAAATCATCTACATCTAAACCCTTGTTTTCGGAATGCTTTACACTTTCCACAGAACAGAAACTAAAATAACCTGTTATACAGTTAGTCACAAATACAGTCCTCGAGTTTTTTGCCCATACACATGAGTATTGTCTAAAACATGTCTTCTTTGTAGCAGCTAGGCCCTGCCACCACTGTGCTTGGCTGAGTTCACAAATCTGTTGTAACCTGTAGCTTCCCTGTCACTTCTCTGGCTCTCCTCTCCTGCTAAGCTTTGTTTTCTCGCAGTTACTAAAACCGTCTGCCACTGCCATAGCTGCTGCTGCTACTTGAACCACCATAGCCACCTTGGTTTCGTGGTTTGGCAAAATATTGACCACCACCACCGTAAGGGCCAGAGCTTCTGCCTCCAAAATTTCCTCCCTTCATGGGTCCAAAATTTGAAGACTGATTGTTGTAATTGTCAAAATCATTGTAGCTTCCACCACCTCCAAAGTTGCTTCCATCATTACCAAATCCATTATAACCATCTCCACTGCCTCCATATCCTCCACCGCCACGACTGCCACCAAAGCCACCTCGTCCACTGAAGTTTCCTCCTCGACCAAAGTTGCCATTCCCACCGAAACCCCCTCCACGGCCACCACCAAAGTTTCCAGAACCACTTCGACCTCTCTGGCTGGAAGGGGCACTGGCCATCTCTTGCTTTGACAGGGCTTTCCTCACTTCACAATTGTGACCATTCACAGTATGGTATTTCTGAATAACGATTTTATCTACAGAATCATGATCATAAAAAGTTACAAGAGCAAAGCCCCTTTTCTTGCCACTGCCTCGGTCAGTCATGATTTCAATCACTTCAATTTTCCCATACTGCTCAAAATAATCTCTTAAGTGATGTTCTTCAGTGTCTTCTTTAATTCCATCAACAAAGATCTTTTTCACAGTTAAGTGGGCACCTGGTCTTTGAGAATCTTCTCTGGAGACAGCCCTCTTGGGTTCCACCACCCTTCCATCCACCTTGTGGGGCCTTGCATTCATGGCTGCATCCACCTCTTCCACAGTTGAGTATGTGACAAAGCCAAAGCCTCGGGAGCGCTTGGTATTTGGATCTCTCATTACCACACAGTCCGTGAGCGTCCCCCATTGCTCAAAATGGCTCCTCAGACTTTCGTCCGTCGTCTCGAAGCTCAGCCCACCGATGAATAGCTTCCGCAGTTGTTCGGGCTCTTTAGGAGACTCTGACTTCGACATGGCGGTGGTGGGAATAAACTCTTTTGCGATGCTTCCTCGGCAGCATTCTCTAGCAGAAAGGAGAACACAGGTTCTTGATGAGTCTCCCTCCAATCCTGTTGCCACACTCCTCACAGAGTCTAGCTTCCTGGATAATATGTTCAGCAATACAGATGGAATAGGTATAGAGAGAGAATACAACCCTAGCACACTCCCTTCCCAATTCCAAACCATACAGTGCTCCCCTGTTCTGTTCACTCAACAGCCTCCTGGTCCAGGTAGAAGTTCCATACGAACACAATCAAGTGCTCTGGGATCCCATTCTTCTCAATGTCAGGCACAATTTGTCATGATCCACACAGTCAAATGCCTTTGTATAGTCAATAAAGCACAAATAAGACATTCTCCTGGTATCTATCTGACATCAGCAATGATATCCCTGGTGCCACAGCCTCTTTTAAATCCTGCTTGACGTCTAGCAGTTTCTTATATATGTACTGTTCCAGCCATTTTTCTTTGGTTTTTTAATTAATTTCAATGAACATTTAGAGAGATTTTCGATTTCCGTTCATTCATTGTTGCTTCAGCAGTATTTTGCTTGTATGTGATATCAATGATATTGTTCAATAATTTCCACATTCAGTTGGATCACCTTGAATAAACTTTGTTAGAATGATAAAAAAAGAAGTGCATAATAAACATCTTACCAAACCAAAAAAAAAAAAAAATGTCAATCAGCAGGCCGTTCTCCGGAGTTCCCTTAACACATTGCTGCAAATGATAGCTATAAATGTGTTTCTAAGCGTTTCTAAGCACGGTCTCAAATGCGTGCGGCAACTGGTTAATTTTGATCCTCCCCAGAAAACTATTCGGCTCGTAATAAATAATATGCCCACCTCTGCAGACTGTTGGGTATGGCTGCATTTAGGGTGTTACTGTCTAATGGGATTTTAAACCGCATCCTTCGGGCCGATTACAAATCACAGCAGCCCTGTAGGATAGAGCAGCACTGCTCCACATGGTGGAGGACCATGCACAGCAATTTGACCAAAGTACCCTCGCATGGGGAAGCCTCACTTGGGCCACAGGACAGCAGTGTGATCCGAGGTTGCAGACGTTCGAATAGACGAAGCCTTTCTCTGGGACCTGCTCCCCAGCTCACATTATGACTGTACCAGTGAGTAACCACTTACTGCGTCGACTCCAATTCAGGATGTCTCTGTGTGTAGCAGAGCCGAGTTGCGCTCTGTGGTTTTCAGGGGAAGATTGGTTGGGACCCGAGTGCCAGGCCTTTGCTCCATAGTATGTCTGCTTGGACAGGCAGTGATTTGGTCAAAGGGCCCTTGACTGCCTGCTTACAGATCAGCACTGAACTACATGTTGTGGAGGACCCAGAGCCCGCAGTGTGGTGGTGTCCCTATGAGGACGGAGCTGCCGGGCTCCCTCACAACCAGCAGGTGGCACTGTATCTGGATGATTTGCTCCTTTGAGTTCTTGTCAGATTCCACATTGGACCCAGTAAGACCTTCACTAGGGAGCTCTGGTTGCCTAGTGGTAAGAAGTTGTGCTGCAATCCCAAAGCCACACAGTTCAAGTCACCAGCTGATGCATGGGAGAATGATGGGCAATCTTCTCCCATGCAAGCAAACTGCCTCTGAAAACCCTTTGCAGGGTCATCTATGCATCAGTTCCAACTCAAAGGTGAAGAACACAACAACAAAGACCCCCACAAACCCCACAAACCACCTGCACCTGAAATCAAAGCAATTCAGTTGGAGGCAGACCCTGAGCAACAAAGAAATATCAACCCCACAGCATATGGGACCTATGGTTGTAGCAAACACCACACACACAAGCCTGTAACCAGACCTCCAGTGATAATTACAGCCCATCAGCCCTCGCTGGATGGAAGCCAGGCCTCCCTCATTCAAGGGCCCGGCTGGTGAACACAGCGGGTTAACTAGATCCAGATGCATGGGCTCTGGCAGGATGTGGGGGAAAGGCTAGCACTGTTCTGAGGTGCTGCCTGCCAGCCTGGAGTCTGGGTCCCCCTCACTGGACAACAGGGTGCCTCTCCAAGTGTAACTGGAACCTGCGCTGACACATGTGGGTGCCTTGCTTGGACTACAAAATGTCTGGTATGGAACCAAGTGAGGGCATTCAAATAGAAGAAGTATTTCTTCAGAATGGAGGCCCAAGTTATCACATTTAGCAGTATCTGCAAACACCAATAGAAAATATTTTGTTGTGGTTATGTACCATCAAGTCAGAAACAACCCACCTACCCACAACAAGATGGATTGATGCTTTTGAATTGTGATATTGGAAAAGAGTGTTGAATGAACTTCCACAAAAACAGACAAATTGGAGGAATGTAGTCAGAATGGTCCTGAGAAGCAAGGATGTTGAAACATCTCCTAATCTTTGGTCATGTCACATCGAGGGGTGAGCCCATGGAAAAGGATGTCATGTTTGGAAAATGGAACATTACTGAAGAAGACAAAGTCAGGAGGAGATTGACTGATACTGCAGCTGCAATGGCTCTAAGCGCAGCAAATGGGTGAGGTTTTGTTCTGTCTGAACCTGGGATCACTGTGGATCCAAGTGAATTCAATAGCATCCAACAAAAGTTACAGCCAAGCTCATGTGGCCATTGCTTGGGCTGTTAACAGGAGCTCATGTTTCACAAGACAAGATTTTGTTTAAAACTTTACTTGGGGATTTATTGTGTTTATTAAAGTGCCAAAGTGCACATGGAAATTGTAAAACAAAGGAGCACCACCTACCTGCACCTAGGACCACTTTGGTGAAATGACACGCTGGTGAAATGGGGTCAGCAAAAAAAATGATCAGCTTTGCATGCCGGTTGGTCAACATCATTAATTTTAATCTCCCTGCAGAAGTTTTGGCAGATAAAGGAGATTCACACAGTCAGGGTGATAACATTCCATTCTTTGCAGCGAAGAGGGCTAAAGAGAAAGGTTCGTGATCGTGGTGATCAGTGTTGTGTGACAGCTTGAAGCTGCTGCAGTTCTCATGTTTGGCAGACATTGGAGTGGGTGTTCCTTCATCACGTGATATAAGGCAATCACCTTTCACAAAGCAAGCATGCGTGAGCAGCCAATGAGTTTAAGGGGGTCTTTCCTTAGGAGTGGCCTGTATGTGATATATAAGTGTACGTTCTGGTGAAGCTGGCACTCTCTCTCAATCTTATATTTTCTTATCACTTGATCTGGTCTGGTTCCTCAGACACAAGCTTAAAAATGTCTTGCCCTCTTGACCTGCGCACTCTAAATTCCCCGGTCCCACAGTTCTGAGCCAGCAGAGGCCTCCAGGCTGCCATCTGACCTACAGTTGGAATTTATCAATACTCACAATTGCATGAGCTGTCTCCTTGAAGTAATGACTCTCTACATACATTTATATGCATGTGTGTCTCTAGAGAACTCAACTGTGACATGGAGGAAGGACATGTGTGTCTGACGGATTATAAACCTACATCCACCTCCTCACTCAGCTCCTGGGAGGGACATCGTGTTGTGTCTTGGAGTTCTCTAGAGGAACAGAACCAATGAGATAGACAAACTAAATGCCCTGCCTTCAAGTCACCTCTGATTCATGGTGACCTTCCATCAGGTTTTGATGCTATAAACCTTAATGGTAGCAGACTGCTTCAGCTTCTTCCCAAGGAGTGGATAGTGGATTTGAACCACTAGCCTTTTGGTTAACAGCTCAACGCAACCCATTAAGCCATCAAGGACTCCTAAATGAAATGGAGAGAGAAGAGGAGGATTAACTTCAAAGGGTTGGTTCACATAATTGTGGGGACTGACAAGTGTCCCAAACCATGGGTCAACTGACAAGATAAAGACCTTTCCAAACTTTGCGTCCCAAAATTCAAAGCTTAGTGGGTAGGAGAAATGAAGAAGTTTTTGCAAAATGTGTAATTATGGTCTTGATGCAAAACACACCACCCTCAGGAAACTCCCTTTTTGCTTTTAACATCTTCAGCTGACTTCCTGGAGCCCACCCCCACTATGGAGACCAGACTTGCTTTATTTGGGACCAACTGATGTAAAAATAAAGGAACGCTGAGGGTGTAACGTCTTTCGGTCAAGCTGTTAACCAAAAGGATAGTGGTTCAAACCCACTAGCCACTCTTTGGTAGGAAGATAGGCAATCACTTTCTAACAGGATTTAACTGCCTCAGATACCCCATGCGGAGTTACCTTAAGTGGGAACAGACCCAAAGGCAGTGGTTTGGTGAGTTTTGCTTGATTTAATCATTTGTTGTGAAACGCTCAGCAACTAACTGAAAGGTGGACAGTTCTAGTCTGCTCAGAGAAGCTGCTGAAAAGACCTGGAAACTCACTGTTAGCAAATCATCTTGTCATAGAAATCCCTGACTGGTAATCCCAACGTTAGTGGTTTGAACCCACCTGGAGACTCCACAGGAAAAAGGCCTGGTTACCTGCTCCTGTAAAGATGACAGCCAAGGAGACTTGTGTGGGCAGTTCTATCCTGTGACATGGTGCCACCGTACAGGGTTGGGAGGGCAGGCACTCAGTGTTTATTTAGCTGACTGGAGACTGCAGCACCCAGGGCAGTGGCTGTGATGGGAACACCCCAGCATGCAAGGCTTCCAACTCCTGCTGCAGACACAGGTCATTCCAGGCTTAGCGATGCTGAGCACACCAGAGGGTGACTTCTAGCTCAGTAACTCCACCTGGACTGCTGCTGCAAAGCATCATGGTTGCCATGGAAACCAGCCTCACACAAAGTCACCTTCTCTGGGGCCTCCAAGCCCCTTCTCCTCCTCCTCATTGCCAGGGACTTTCCCAGATGCTGTCTGCAGCTCACCTGTCAGCATTCCCTGAGTCACGGCATCTGCTTGTTGTTCTCCTTTGATGGAGAAGAGTGCCTTAAGTTCCAAAGAGGGGAACCAAGCAGTCCTGGTCGGGCACACCTGGTTGAGAAGCAGCCTTTGTTCTGGACAGTAAGTGGAGAAGGTCAAGAACTCA